CTGTTCAGCCTGGAGAAGAGAAGACCAGGAGGAGATCTGATCAGTGCTTATAAATACCTTAAGGGTGGGTGTCAAGAGGATGGGGCCAGACTCTTTTCAGTGGTGCCCAGCAAGAGGTTAAGGGGCAACGGGCACAAACTGAAACTCAGAAAGTTCCATCTGAATATGAGGATAAACTTCTGTACTTTGAGGGTGGCAGAGCACTGGCACAGGCTGCCCAGAGAGGTTGTGGAGTCTCCTTCTCTGGAAATATTCAAAACCCGCCTGGACATGTTCAGGTGCAACTTGCTGCAGGTGAACCTGCTTTGGCAGGGGGGTTGGACTGTGTGATCTCCAGAGGTCCCTTCTAACCCCCACCATTCTGTGATTCTGTGAAAGAGGATATATGTGATGTAAGACCACTGCCTAGAGTGGGCTGGGAAGCTGGAAAGGCCAGCCTGTCCTTTCTTCACCATCTTCCTAAAGCTGTTCCTTATTCAAGGCCTGACTAATTTAGACATACTTCACAGTTAAGCACAAGTCCTGAAATACTTGGATTATTTCTTAAAGTCTTGGCTCTTGTATTCATAGACTGCATGAATATCCATCTTCTTATGGTCATGGAGAAAGTGTAAAAATGTCGTCTTACAGGGTCAAATACCAGACATTTATAATTATTTTCTAATCTTCTGGGTTTTTATACCAGTCTTCTGATTTTGGAAGCCTTATTTTAGAGAACTGCATGCTTGCTGTTGGCAGTACTGTGTAGTGCAAAGAAAACTTGCAAATATTTGCTAGTGCTAGTCCTATTTTAAGTTAAATCTGCTTACTATACTAGTTCTGGTTGTGTTTGTAGTGTCAGACCCTAAAGATGTATCTTGTTCCTTGTCTGTCTTTGCTTGCTTCAAGTTTCCACTTCTCATGGAACCCAAGTCCCCTTTTGATGACAAGATGCTTAGACTACCATGTGTACCCTGCCTAACTTTGCTGCTTTCCCAGAAATGTGCTGCTTCTGCTCTATTTGCAGCATCTTTACCACTCACTCCTGCCACTCAGGTGTGTACTGCTCTTCGTCTGTAAGTATTTTGCCAGGTATGGGCCTTGCTTTGTGATTTAACCGGACTGCTGCTATTCATAGGTCCAGCAAGAAGAGAACATGTTAAAGCCATTGTAAAATAATCAGCACTACATGAAATTGAGAAGGTGGGATCCAATAATCTGAAACCCAGATGGTCTCTGGCAGTGAGAAGCGGGAGAGCTGTCATGCTGAAAAAGACCCAGAAGCCAGCAAATGAGCAGAGTTAATGATGTGACACAAGAAAATGAAAGGCAGGGTGATTCTGAGCAACGTATGTAGGAGTGTCCCACTCAAAAGATTGAACTCTCCATAGTCTTACCTATGCTAGTGTTCTCCACACAGGCAGTACAGCTATTGGGGTGGGAGCAATGATGGATACTAACTGTGAATTAACAAGGTGATACATCTACCAGCATGTTGAACAGTCTCTCTGAGGAGGGATTAGCAATTGGGATTAGCAAATATAATTGGACAACACTTTGCTGAGACTAGTATGCATGTCAGATGGGAGGGGGAGGAGCAGCCTGATTTCACTGACTGTGAAATACTCACCATTTAAAATGTGAAATCGTATGTGAACATATCATTGTTAGCTTCTGTTACCCTCCATAGGAATATGTTTGTAGAATTTGGGTTCTGGGCCTGAGTGCCTGGATTTCAAGTAGGAGCCCGTGCAATCCTTGTACTCTGACAGGCTGGCTAGCTCTTGCTGTTGAACAACACTGCCTGCTTGACCAGTTAATGTTTATAACATATGTTGCAGGGGGTAAGCTTTTACTATTAAATATCTGAGCTGATATCATGTGGCACTGAGTCACTGTCCTCTGAATATTCCCTGTGCTGCTAATGCAAATAAATTCACCAGCTTCTGTCTTAATAGCTTGCTTTAGAGCCAGTGCCACACTTCACACCCTGTTCTGGATGCTCTCCAACAAGTTAATGTCTTTCACTGAGGAAGGTGAGTAAAACTGATGAGAGTATCCTTAACTAAAGAGCCATAAAATTCTAATAGAGCAGTAATGTTCCCAGCAAGCCTGAAGGGAATCTGATCAATAGTTACGAGGTTGAGTCTCAATTTATGGCCTTAATTCATCGAGCATAGTCATTCTCCATTTTTGTACAGGATGCTTTTATGGTTC